GAAATCCACCTTTCCAAATTCTAAAACTTTTCCATAACAAATAGTGCTCTAAAGTGGTTGCATTCCTTCTTGTATCAAAGATCAGACAAGACAATTCAAAAGAAAGTTGTCATCAGACGTAATAAAACTCCTTCCTACCCCCTCTTACTATTTGTGGTGTTCCTCAGGGATCTTCGCTCAATGTTGAGAAGACCAAAGCCATTCTCATTGGTTCCAATGAAACCTATCCGTTTCCACACTTTCGTTAGAAACCTTTGGGTAATGTTTAATCAATATTTGTCCTGTAATAATCAAATTCCCAAATAATGCGAAAATCCATTCCTATCCTCAAACAGATCCCATGATTCCACGCCCCTTAAAATCCCTCAGCTCCTAGTTTCCTCATTCATTTTCCCTCATTTCGATTATGGTTGTCTTGTATACGGTGAACTGTTTGGTGGGCTTGAGACCAGATTAAAGAATTGTTTCATTAGATTTATCTTTGGAGTCTCAAGGCGCTCTCACATCTCCAGTTGGTATGCCGAGTTGAAGTGGCTCTATCCAGTCTTCCGGCGGCAATACTTCCTAGGTGTATTTCTTTTTCGAACCTTTTCAACCAAAAAATCCTCTTACCGTCTCAATTTGTTTACTCCTTGTTCCTCTCTCCATTCGTTCAACACGAGATCCCAGTCCTCAAACCTTTCCTTCTCATAGAACTGTATCCTTTGTCATACGTGTTACCTTGTTTTGGAATTCCCTACCAACCTCCATACGCAAATCTTCATCCTTGACTTTATTTGTAAAATAATGTTCACGTTTTTCAGACCTGTCAGTCGTATTAAATGATTTTTTTTTTTAAATTAGCAGTATATACCAGAACAATATAAGAAAAACAAACAGAATAGCGCCAATCAATGACCATATAGGACAGAAGCGAAATCAAACAAATAAATAAATTTCATAACCTTTCAGTACGTAGCACCACTATACGAATATATGTACCATCGGCAGACTAATAAACCGTTGAGTTGATTTGGGTAAGAAACAAAACATAGAGATCAGTGAGTTCATGAATAGTTTACTAACAAAAGGTCAGTGTTCTGAAATAATTAGGTCTTCAAGGCAATACATGAGGAGTCACGGCTTATTTGAATTGTTAATCACGGTTTATCAAGGGCGTGTAATCACTTGTGTATACTTATTAAAATAAAAATTGGTGATGTCAAAGTCAAATTCATTAAAGCCACAGCATTACGTGACGTTAAACATCGCTTTTCAACTACCGGCTTGTTTATTTTTGTTGTAATTTCGGTTGATTTGCGAGGTATGTGATTAATTTCATTAACGAAGTTATGTTGTCACATAGTTTCGTTACGTTATATTTATTGAATATTTTACACATCGGAGTATCTTTATAAAATAGCAATAAAGAACAGTTTTTATTATTTATCCGTTCAAACACAAACCAACAAAATACAAAGAAGATCAACCTTAAATTAATCCTCCCAACTTTGCTTTCGTCCATCCTATAGAAATTTTCCAGTGGTACGAATCGCAGAAATCGGGGACGTAATTCTAATTTTTAAGTATTTTATTATCTCGGAAATTTGTATATCCCCTTGACGGAATCGAGTGTACAAGAGTTTGAGCGAAATCAAAATAATGCACAGTGAATACCTTCGTTTAATTAAAAAAAAAATAAAAATAAGTCAATAATGGGAAGTATGTTCCAGAAATAAAAATATGTTAGTTTTGGTTCAACGAAAGTTATTTTGAATCAGTAGAGGAAACGAAAAATTTGGGAAGTTCAAATTTGGGATATGTGACTACGAAAAAGCGAAGAGCACAATTTTTGTTTCTAAATATTCGATGTATGATTTACAAAATGAATTAGAAGTTCATTTAAGAATTACTGGCCGTAAGCTCATAGCAGATCGAATGGATGAACTGTTTTCTTTAACAGATCCACGTACTTTTTCAAGGGAAGAGCAAATTTCTGATAAGTTTATGCCGAACGAAGAGGCATTAGCTTTTTTGGTCGATGCTAAGGTATCAAAATATAAATATAATAAAATAAGAAACGAATTAGTATTAAATAATTGCTTTGTTCTGACATCATATTAATGCGTCAAAAAGGCTAAAACGAATACTATCATACATTTTTAAATGTTACAAAGAAAGAAGCTAACATTAGTTTGAAAGTTTTACTTGCTCACATGTTTTCAAAATATTTTTTATTAAAGAAAAAAAGAAAACTTTCCAGACCAGGTGTACCCAGAAAGGAGTGAGTTTAAAGACGCAATTTTTTTTTTAGGGGAGCGATTTTTATGGGGTTTGGAATTTTTAAGGGAAGCACATTTCGCCTAACGTATGGATTTTCATAATAAAACTGTTCATACCAATAGACGACGGACATCATGGAGGCAATTGTATATCATTGTATATCAACTATTATTCTAATTATATTTTCTATATTATAAGAATATTGTTCTGTTTTAAGAAGGGTTGAGCAATAAAATGTCTGAAGGGGAGGAATGGGTACCTCTGTTCCAGACGGCCACAAGTTAGGGCTGTGGACAATTTGGAGTATTCGCAACCGCGACCGATTTTGTGGATACAGTTGGTGAATAAGCACAATTTCTAAAATTCCGATTATTCAGACAACACCATTTGCATGATCTCAATCTCTCCAATATACAGGGTGTTCAATAAATAGAGGGAGATATTTATAGGAGTGATTGCAGATCTCAAGAGCTACAAAAAAAGTTCATATAAACAATATGTCAGTTTTCAGAAGAAAAATAGTAAATCCAAGTATTGTGTTTTTGTTGAATATGAAGCGATAAATAAAGAAATGTTTAATTTTATTAATTAGCAATTGTTTCATTGTAAACTAGAAAAAATTACTTCAAACAAAAATAGAATTTGTCATTGTTAAAACCATTTAAAAATGACGTTTGAGTGCCTAAAATAAGTTCTGTTTTTAAAAACATCATAAATTATTCGTGATTTTTTTTTATAATCATCCAACTATACTACAGATAGCCTTATTTAAGAAAAACTTCTTCGTTTAATACGCTTTAATCTGTATTAATTAAGTCGAGATTTATTAGAGAAAAAATTAAGATTTACTTCAAGTTGTGCATATAAATAATGTGATCTTTTATCCTGTCGCCTAAAAGTACAAGTGTTTTCAGCAAAAATGACAGCAATGAACTGTTGCAAGGCTTTTATTTCTTGTTTTTTTTCATAATCTGAGAAGTTTCGTAATAAACATAATTGCATAAATACACTTGTATTAATTAAAATAAGAAATTTAAAAATACTGATTTTTCTGGTAAAGTGTTTATGGAACTGTGTTTTTCATCCAGATTTGTATTACAGGAATTGATTCGTATTTATAAGGGACAAACTAAATGTTCCTGATCCCAATAGTAACATTTTCATTAAAATAATTGAATCATCAACTAGTATGTTTTTTTATTTTAAATGTACATTTTTGGTCTACAAACATTAAATTTGTCACTTATAAATACTAATCAATTCCTATAATACAGACTCATAAACATTTTACAGGAAAATTATTTGAAAACCAGTATTTTTCAATTTTTTTATTTTTATAAATAAAAAGTGTATTTAGGGAATTATGTTTACTATAAAAATATCCTAAATAATGAAAAAAAAAATAACAGCTTTATAACAATTAATTGAAGTCGGTTTTGCTGAAAAAAAAGGAGTACTTTAACTTGACAAAATAAAAAAACACATTATTTTTATACAACTTGATGTAAATCTCACATTTTTCACAAATAAACCTAAACTTAATTAATACAGATTTAAAGTGTAGTAAACGAAAAAGATTTCCTAAAAGTGGTGTATTTGTAATATAGTTGGAGGATGATAAAAAAAAAATCGCGAATAATTTATGATTTTTTTAAAACAGCTTACTTTTGCCGCTCAATACTCCTGTTTAAATTGTTTTAACAATGTCAAACTCTGTTTTCTTTTGAAGTAAATTTTGACTAGTTTACAGTGAAGCAATTGTTAATTCCTAAAATTAAATATTTCTTTAGTTATCACTCCCTATTCAACAAAATAAAAATTGGATTTCCTACTGTTCTACTGCAAATTGACCCATTGTTTATATGAACTTTTTTGTAGCTCTTGAGGTCTGCTATCACTCCTATAAAAATTTCCCTCTACTCACAGAACACCCAGTATACATAACATATTTCATATTTTTAATAACTTTATTTAAACTTTTTATAGAGTAATTTGGTAAAAACAAAAAATCGTTCAGTAATGGAATTAGAACTTCCATAAGTATTAAATAATAAGTTGTTTGAAGTTGAATAAAAATTGGATATTGTTTTTTACTAATATTATTTTTCTTGAATCCTCGAATTATTATGAAAGATTAGATACATGAAAAAAGCTCACATACCATTTAATTCAGAATGAGCAAATATATAAAGATCAATAAACTAATGAGAAATTTATTGAAGTGTGGAAATTCAAAAATATCTAATTGCTTTCAGCAAAATTTCCAGATTTCAAATTTATATATATATTTTAATGAAATCATATTTCTTTAGTTTTATTCAAAGTTGAAATTTGAAATCTGGAAATTTTGCTGAAAGCAATTAGATATTTTTGCATATTTCCACACTGGAAGTATTAATTCAATTATTGAACTTTTTTTTTTACCATACTACTTTATAAAAAGTTTAAATGCAGTTATTAAATCTATGAAATATCAAATTTCAACTTTGAATAAAACTAAAAAAATGTGATTTCATAAAATATATATATATATATATATATATATCTGACCATCTGTAATTGCATAAATAATAAAATCACATTCATAATAGTAATTAGGTTGACAAATGGACCTGGAATCTGCAAACACAAAAATTTCTATTTAGATCTTGCTAAACACATTTTTGAATTTCCAGACTTCACTTACTTTAATCATTTATAAATTACAAATAATAATATACTTTAAATAGCTTAATTACCCCATTGGGATCCATAGTGAAAATATATCCATCGGGGTTGAGCATTGGAAAAATATACCAGTGTACATTTGCTATGAGATCAGAATTTGATGAATTTTCCAATAATTGACTGATTGTGTATAGAACTGCAACAGTGCTCACCCATTCTCGAGCATGTATACCTCCATCCAATAAAATTGTTACATCTGCTTCCGTAATATTACTATTGGTACTGATTTTTATACCTCTTATGTCTCTGTTCTCATAGCTTTTTCCAATTATTAATTCGTTGGTAGTATCATTGTTGTTGGCTAGTATGTTGTCTAGATATTTATTTATCTAAAAATGAATAGTTTGTTAATCACTTAATTTATTTTTTTGTTTAACAAACATTCATATATTTAAGTAATATATAAATATTATTACCTCCTCATAAGTCATGTATCTGTCAAGTCTATTTGGCTCACTTTTTGTAAATAAAAAATAAGTATTTTTTAATATTAAAAATTATGATTTTAATAATTAGTAAAATAATTATCATAGACTTACCTACTAGATTCAAGTTTAACACAAGTAAAAAAACACAGCAAGCACATGCATATTGGTTTGTAAGATATATGTAGCATTGTAAAATATTTTTTAATTAAAAAAATTAATTATTGTTAATAAATGAAACATGTACTTTTGATTCAAGTCAGACTAATATTCCCACCGGCTCCAAGGAAAAACTGGTTCTGAGCTCCACTATGCCACTCTTATATATATAACTGCAGAGCCCCTCCTCAGGGCTCATTTACATATATCATACATTTTACACATGATACCCACAAATTTTTTTTCAAAAATGAAGTTATTTTAGTTTTACTAAACAGTTCATAAAAAATGGCTTTGATTTGATACCCAAATGCAACAAAAATTTATATAGACAATTTGAATTATACATATATGTAAAATACCTTATGGAAAAAATTATAATTATTAAATTTGTACTTTAGACTCAAGTTAGACAAATATTCCCACCAACTCCAAGGAGAAACTAATCCATGGTACTCATGTTAGTCTGTAAAATTAGATAAACTTTAACAATTTTTGTATACTTTTCTTTCATAAAGTGATGTGCCTGAAATGTGCAATAAACTGTTTTAAAATATCCTTTGAAAATTCGTTTCATTATTTGTGTCTCAAAACTCTTTTGTTTCATTGCTAAAGTTGCAATCTAAATTCATGATTTTATACAGTAAGAAAAAAAATGTAAATAACATATGTATTTGATAAAGGATTAGTAACATATGAAATTTAAGGTATCCTTTACACCATCTAAAACTTGTTATGATTGTGAATATATGGTTGCTGAGTCCCAGACTTGCAGATGTTGCATCATATAGTTCCTTTCAAAATAATATGGCTTATATGCCCATTTCAGAATATTTTTCTAGTATACTTCGAAATCTTTATTATTAATGGTTTTAATTATTTAGAACACGGTATTTAACGGCAGTCTTTTCAAGATTAATTAGATTTAAAAATTAATAACAAACCCTTTTGATTTCATTTATTTAAAAACATTTTAATTATGTTTTTGGTTTTTTTAGTATATATAGTATATTAGTACATAATTATATATAATTTTTCTTTAAACTGGATGACTCTACTCTGGCAGAGAATAGGGATGCATGGTAGTTGTTGCAGAAATTCAGGGCCTTTTAAGGGTTTAATCGTATTAATGAAGACATTGTTTTTCTTACCATTGAAAAAAAGAGAATAGTATTTTAGAAAAATAGAGTGTTATTTTTCGTGAATATTTTTGTTCTGAAGAAAGATGCTCTCACTTGCGAATTCTGATGCTATACAATGGACGTAAAGTTGCGAAATTTTTACACCAATAAGCACGGAAATTAGGCGAGCCGTTACGATATTATTTTTTTTAGTAAAGTTAGAATAAAATTTTGACTGTCACCTCATGTTTAAAATATTTATCATTATTGTTTTACGTTAATGGATCAGTACATAAGTAATCCAAAAATAAATACATTTGTATAATTACACATAGACGAAACTATTGGAAAAATGTCTATAAATATTTAATGAGGCAAAATAAACGTACTTGAAAAATTCAGTATTACTATCAAAAGACAACGAAAAATAAATTATGTCTAGATTGAAGGTTAGCAACATTAGAAAGAAATATAAAATTAATTTTTAAACAAAAATAAAATAAAAAATCGAGAATCACAGTTTTATGAAAAACAACCATAGTTAATTCAAACTATTATTGCAATTTACTCTTCTAAAACCAATGTAATTTGAATATGTTAGTAGAATATACCTATAATAGGTATACTGAATTATAATTATAAATATTAATATCCTTTAAATAGTTTTTTTAACAAATCTAGAATTTACTTATAAAAATATAGCTTTGTAAAATACACAAAAGTTGTGTACAGAGTACGTTGTGACCGAATCTCAAACAATATGTTAAGGTGCGTTTAGATATTTCACAAACCATGGGAAACAACTATCTAACTTAGCTAACAGCGGCATTATTGTTAAACTAAACTGTTTATTTTATTTCTCTTGTTACCGTCAGTAGATGGAAGATATCAAAAACAAGAAACAATAATACAAACATAGTGAAATAACCATTTGTCCCATAGTTTGTGACAAGCCTAACGAACCTTTAAAATCTCGTACAATTACGGGAAATTCATAAGAATGGTAATACTATCTACCTTGTTTGTATTAGGTATAGTATTGTATTTATACAGAAGTAAAATTTAAAAATAAAAATTGCCCACAGAAGCAAAGATTTTCAATAACATTTTAAATATCGAGGAACTTTGGTTTCTCGTCAGTCAATTTTGTGTGTCGTGAATAAGACTTATTTTATTTATAGTTAATTCAATTTTTTTTAATTTTCAATTGGAGTATACTTAATTAGGAAATTGTAACTTTTTGAAATTAAAATAAGAACCTAACTAATTTCTGATCTGCCACTTTGAAGTTAAACTTTATTTTCTAATATTTTTGTAATGTTTAATTAGATGTAGTTATTTCATTATAATATTTTATAGAAAAAAATATAATGTAGATTGTCAAGGGTAATGCAATTGTTTTTATTATGTTCTTCAAGACTACTAGATTTCAGTTCTTATAGTTTTTAATAAATAGTTCACACAAATACGGAAGTACATTTTGGGAAGAATTAATGTGTAAGATGTGTTTTTCCATTAAATAATATAAGAATCCTTGTAATTTAAATAATATAAGGCTCCATCTTCACGAGAATCCAGATAACTTAAAATTAGCTCCCTATGAAGCAAAAAAACGAGGTGTCCTTCAACTTGACTGAAGAGGACTCACTAGATCAGGTATAAATATCAACATATACGTTGGTGTCGGAGTAACCTTGGCAAGGCTGGACAGTCCAGTGACCTAGGAGTTGGGAGGGACTCAGTTGTATATCGAAATATTTTTGGCGTAAGGCGGCAATATTTACGAGAAATTAGTTTTACTTATTCGTATAGTAAAAAAATGAGGCTTCAGCCCGAAAGACCCAGCTTTTTTTACCCTAGTCTTCTAGTTCGAAAATTCTTTACAATTGGAAGACCACAAAAATATGGTTCTCTTCAAAATGTTTATCCCCATCAAAACATGATGTCCCTTCTTAAAAAATCAAAGCTAATTAGAAATGTGCCCCCTTCATTATGGTATCACACCACACCGTTCTGAGCACCCTGAAACCAATAAGAAGTAATGATGGGCTAAACAGTGAAATTTCGATAACAAATTAAAGGGTTGCCGGCTACCCAATGATAATAACATGTTCCCGTAATAGATGCTATTACTAAACCGTCACACATCATATTTATTTGTTTACCAATAATTGGATCTATGTTTATAATACTTGAAATTATTATAATTTAGTTAAACTTCATTTAGTATTTTAGAAAATCATTTTATATTTGAAAACGTATTTATAAATTATATTAATTTAAAAAGACTGACAGAAATTTCTTGTCAAGTACTTCAGCGTTATTTATAAAAAAGAAAGAAAAGAAAGTAAACAGAATTAACAATACTAATAAAAAAACACCTGATTGTTGTTCATGATTTGTTTTTTGTTTTCTATTAAAAGATACGACGTATTTCAGAAATTCAGCAATTTCCAAGGTTTTAGGAATAACATGGACCAATGTCCGATTCCCATTAAATTCTTCCTAAATGCATAAGATATCACCTACCAGTTTCAGATGAAATTTTTCTAGAATATTTTCATATTTTTGAGCCATTCATGTGGATTATTATCTTTGTTAGTTTTCAGTATATTTTGTTGCAAATAGATTTTTTTTTTTTTTCAGCCACTTATGTAAATAAAGTAAGTAAACGGAAGAAGCTTGAATCTTGGGTCAAGGGCATTTGCAGTACCTAACTATAAATTCTATTGTGCTCCATATCATTTGGTTTACTAGTGTTGTGATTACTATAGACATGCCCTTGTCAGGGAATTGCTCTTTTAATTATGAACGCACGTCCTTGAAGTGACGGAAGAAAAGTCACTTTACTCCCATCACGGGAGTTTTCTTCCACTCATATACCAAGAAATTTCCTTAAATAGTTCTATGATATTAAGTCAATAAATATTTAATAGTTGTCATTAAATAGTTTATAAAATTACATTTATTTTAAAGAATATTGGTGTGAAAATTAAAGTTATTAATTTCATCTTTAACGTCTTGAATTTTTAGTTTTTTTTGAGGCGAACGTACACACTTTTAGAATCAAAACATTGTAAGTTTATTCTATGTTTAAAACAAAAGAATTTTGTTTATATTCTAATACGTCATAGTTAAATGTTTATCTACATGAATGTGCGTCTCTGGGGATTTCGAGGCGAAACTAAAATGTTTGGTAAATTGCTTTATACGATTTATCTTCGGGATCCTAGAGGACGCTTTTTATTCCCGTTTTTATGCAGAGTTGATGTGCCTTTATCCTTCCTACCATCGTAAGTATTTAACAGCATCCTTTCTCTTTCAAATCATCCAATCCCGCCGTCCTTCATACATCCTCTGAGCTCCTTCAATTCAAATCCTCCGTTCGTTCCCGCTATACTCGTTCCGGGTCTTCAGATTCATAGAGAAGGGCCCACCGAACCGCTGCTTTCGACAGATCGTTCATTATCCAATCCTCAACCTTTCCTATCTTTAAATCCCTCCATTTCAATAATTTCTTATCCGTCCAGTCCCCATAAAATTTTAAATATATATAACTGTAAATATGTATATAACTTATTAAATTCTTCTTAATTATTTTTACTTCATGTTTTCAATTTTTTATTTCTTATAATTAACTAATTAAAGTCAGAAAGTAACTTATATATATATATATATATATATATATATATATATATATATATATATATATATATTTTTTTTTTTTTTTGTCTTTCTGTATTATTCTAAAGGGACTCGTCCCAAAATAAATAAAGTATAATTATTATGTTAATAATCCATTAACATAGAGTATCATTTGTTTTAAAATCATATTAGTATCTTATTGTCAATTACAAAGAAACTTTTTCGCTTGTTTCTCAGATAGTTAAAAATATTGTTGCGAAGTGAATCGATACGGAGCTGTAACAATACTGACGGCTAAGTTCATGTTCGAACTTCCATAGACAGGTAATCTTTAAGTTTAAAAGTAGTTGTTTTACATGAAAATAAAATTTCATCATGTACATATAATTTATAATTATAACGAATATATATAACCGCCCTACAAACACCTGTAAGTACAATTTTACTAGATAACACAGTTTTGAAATTTATGAAACTTTATTTTAAGCATGGAATAAAAATTGAACGGAAAACCTAGATCATGAAATAAAACATCTAGTGCGCGCAACACAAAACTTTCACGTGCCACTCTACTTTGGATAGAAATTATTTTCTGGCAAAGTTGAGCTATTATAAAATCTTTGAAGTGTATTTTTAACGAATCTACAGCTTAAAGTTTATAGCTAACAAATCATTAAGACTATTACAATAACAAAAAACTCAATTAATTATATTAACGGTAGCCAATGAAAACCTCGGTACTCCATTTGTTTTTGTAAACCACATTACGCCAGCTATATATCTACGTGGATGCCTAGAGATTTGAAACCGTTTGTGTATATTCAGCCTATAAATGATTATGGATCGTAAGCTTATTAGTTATTAAACGTTATTTTCCATTGTAAAGTTTATAATAATAATAATAATAAGGC